TGCTCGACTTCTCCAGGTGCTTGCCCGACACACTCAAGTTCTCCCTCTGGCTTTATTGTACCCCAGAGAAATTCCTTTGAAGAAATGTCCTTCCCGGACCAGGCCTCCGCGGACACTTGTTTGCCTTGATCCCTGCCATTTTAGGCCACAAACAAGCCAAGGTTTGGGCAGCGCTCTCAAATGGTTTTTAGTGCAACCCCCCGCCCGCTGGCTTTCAGGGCAATCTGAATACACAGAGCTTAGAAAAGTTGAATTTTCCGCAGGACGGTTATGTGCAGCTGTGTGGCTGGTTTGCTGTGATCGGCCCCAGCTTAAAAAGGAGAACATCCTGAGAAACCAGCTTCTGTCGAGGCCAGAGAGTCTGGGTCTAAACTCAATATGAAATATCCCCAAGGAAACTTGGGTGCCTTCTCAGAGGTTCGAGCGCTTTTACCTCCGGGTAGCCCTGGTGAGGGATACTAGGCTCCCGCCAGGTTCTTGCTGGGTTTGGTGACCCCAGCGAAGGTGCCATTTCAAGCTGCGCTGCCCTGTTTATTCCCGAGCTGTGGAGAAGACTGTAATCTGGTTTCCTTTAGTGATCTGGTTCTGTAGCTGCTCAGGCCAGCGCCGAAGCAGCCACAACAATGCTGGTGGCAATTTTGATGGGCCACAGGGTGGCAGTGGAGGCAAAGGTAAGAGGCTTCATGCTGTCAGAGGCAGAGCATGGAGCTCCCTAAGCTAGCAGCTGGCAGGGGCCTCCCCTCTTTGAATCTGCATATCCTCTTTGCCATTAGCAGATCATTTTGAACAGGGGGAGTAGACGGTGCAGTGTAATGTCACGCAGAACATGACATACATTTTCCCCCAAGTAAAAGGAAACTAGAAGCTTTACTAATATATTAGGGCAGTGGCTTTCAACCTGTGGTCTGTGGACCCCTGCAGACTATGTTTCAAGGGTCCGCAAAAGATGACTGTGATCAATCAAAACTATGTGAAGACCCACACTTACCATTGAAAGGGTATGCGCCTCCATACAGAATTTTTTAGGGGTCCACAAATAAAAAAAGGTTGAAAAACCACAGCTCTAGGGGCCGAGGGCTGTAGTATTCAGTTAAGATCCAAGCAAAAATGAACATGATTTTATTGGAACACACTCATTTGCTAGCTTATATATTAAGTTTAAAAAACACACCAAGCTAGGGATAATATATTGTTTTATTAGTCCTGTAGTCATTAGAGTTAAATGTATGTCTTATTCAGATTCGTAAAACACCGTCTAACCTTGAGCATCTTTCCAGTGTACCCAACACTTCCCAGTCAGTGATTTCCACACCTGAGTGTCACAACCAAATTAATCAGTGCCCATGTCACTAGTAAGAGATGCACACAGCAGTCAATTAAGGGTTAAAGAAATCTCTGTCCAGAAGTTCCTGAGAAAAAAATCCAAGCAAGAGCTGTATATAATTTATGCCCACGTCACAAACGAGAAACGAAACTTAAGACTGGTCAGAGTGAAAGGGGATAGCCCTGCCATAAATCCCTGCAATAAAACCCGGAGGGAGAACTGTAGATAATTGGTCAGCTGAAATAAAATGCTAGGGAAAACTATATATAATTGGTCAAAAAATAAGCGTAAGCTCCTTACACGTAGCGCACATGTAACAGGTAGAAAAACCTAACCCACTACCTTGTAACTTGAGGAGACAAAGAGCTGCTACCTGCCAAAAAATTAAAAATTCCATATAACGGTTCACGATTGGGTATCTCTGTCAAACACCTCTGCCTATAAATAGTTTAACGGTTTCCGCCCAAGGCGGAGAGCTCTGGGGATTTCTGAGCAGAAACACCTGTGTTCATGTCGCCAGAGAGAGAGATTTGGGAACCTGATCAATTCCCAATAAACTCCCCATCATCGGAAAATATTGACGTAGAAAAGTCTTGCTAGCCCGAGCGTTCCGGCGCCACGTCTGTCATTACTTTGCTGTAACCTGAATGTGTAGACTCAACTCCGTAACCGAAGCTGTAACGGAACAAAGGCTCGCCTGTGTCGTGGTCGCTATTGAGGCGACGTAAGTAAACAAACTCCTGTAACCTACACGTGTCTGTGCCTGGTTAATTCCACTCCATCCATCACTACCCGCCTGTTGAGGCAAAAGGTTTACTGCCCGGCTCCGGGAGTCAGCAAGCAGCTGACCCGCCGCTGCTCTGATTCCTGACACTGAGTTAATGTTCACTTCAGTTAATATGATCACACCTGAGTTAAGGTTTTTAGCTAGGACTAAACCTAGTCTGCAGAGCTGTGGAACAGAAGAGAGATATTACCAGGCATGGCTAAGTAATAGCAGGTGTGCAGAAGAAAGGATAGCTTTATTAGTAGAACATCAAGACCGTTAACGAGGAGAGCGGATCGTTAACACCTGTGAAACAGAAGAGAAAGGTTACCAGGAATAGCTGAAAGACAGCAGAACTGCAAAAGAAAGAATAACTTGATTAATGGAATCAAAGCCATTAAAAGGAGTGAGGGTCATTAGCATTGAGATTACCAGGAATCAGGTAGGTTATAATAAGCCATCAAATCACTGCATCCACCACTGTTGCTACTCCCCGCTGCCCAGTCCCCGTTGCTCTGAAACCACCAGCTCTGAACCTGGAAATTCAAAACGTCACGCTTTGTCGCTAGGGAAACCTTGTCCAACCTGGCCAAGGGTCTTGGGGATCCTCACTGCAATCAGGATCCTTTGCATACATGTTTCATCCCTGGGAACCTCCAAAAACTCTTGGATCCAGCTCCAAATGACTTCTTTGTCTCATGTCTCTACATCACGTTTGATCATTTTGTTACACGTGCTTATGCTTGTTTGCTGTACTTTGCAAAGTCTTTCATTGTACATGTGCCTTCAAGCAGCAGCATTGCAGCAGGTGTTGCATAGTCTGAGGCTCTGTGCTGCAGTCACAAATGGTTAAATCCATGGTGTAGCTCCACTTCTCCACCAGTTCCTTGGAGCGTCCAACTCCGGTACATAGGTGGTTGAGACATCGCCACCTTTGCCGCGGTTCATCAGCCCCTGGTAAAGGACTTGGCTTCTGGAGTGTCCATTTTCCCCCTGTCGGGTATTTTCTTCAGTCTCTCATTCCACATCTGTAGCCCTGTCTCCTTGGGTGTGGCATCAAGGGGTTGGGTTCTGGTGAAGAAGCTCCTGCCATGACTTCAGACATTTGTAGGATGGTCACGGTGGGTGTCTCACAGCTTCACTTTGTCTCGGTCATTGTGTCCTTCTGGCCACTGCTGTTCTTATGTCAGACCAAGCGATAGCAGCCAGCAAGTGCACACCATTTAGGCTGGCAGGCTTCAGACATCCCGTGATGCATCAACACCTATCATTCAGATGGGATCAAGGTGCTTAGCGTGTACGAACCTCTCTTATACAGGGCATGCATAGCTAGGCTTCTCAGCAGAGAAGCTGAGATCCAGAGCAGTGGTTGGGACAGATGAGGTGCTAGCTCCCCATTTTGAGTTGGCGAGCTTATATAAAATGTTCTGGGTGATCACCTTTGCTTTTGTCTTCATGATACCTTTGTATGAGAGGATGCGATCAAGGGTGACTCCAAGGTAAACTGGGTTTAGAGAGTGGGATAGTGGGGTCCTGGCCCATACCACCCCCACTATTACTACACCCCACAACACAGCCATCAGCATCCCAGGATCTTACAGCTGCACCTCCAGGAATGTAATATACTTCATCCAATGCCCCAAATGCCCTGATGGAAGATATGTAGGAGAGACCAAACAACAACTGCGCACCAGAATGAACGCACACTGGACATCTATCAATGACAGAAATACCCTATTACCGGTGGGGGCACATTTCTCACAGGAGGGCCACTCTCTCTCCAATCTCTCAGTCCTGATCCTCAAGGGAAACTTACACAACAGTTCCCAGAGACGAACCTATGAGCTCCATTTCATCAACCTGCTGGATACTAGAGATCATGGACTAACCATTTGGGTTGGTCTAATAAAAGATATCAAATTCACCCAAGGAACCTTGTCTGCCTATGTCCTCAGACCAACACGGCTACAACCTAAACCCCTGGACTAAACATAGACATTGGATTTTTGATACACTATAATCTGCCTGGCAACTGACTCCCCAGCCCAGCCCAGCCCAGCCCAGCCCAGCCCCTGGCTTGTTTACTTTTCATTCCATCCAGGAAGAGCACACACCGACTGCTGAAACCTCCTTAGCCTGACGAAGGGTTTTTGAACCGGAAAGCTTGCTTAATAACTATTCTCCAACTATTCCAGTTGGTCTAATAAAAGATATCAAATTCACCCAAGGAACTTGTCTGCCTATGTCCTTAGACCAACACGGCTACAACCTAAACCCCTAAAAAATCCCTGGCACCTGTACCAGAAAGCAGGGCAAGGGGCAACCAGCAAAGCCCAGAAG